GTGTGTGTATGTGTGTGTGTGTGTGTGTGTGTGTGTGTGTGTGTGTGCGCACTGTATAGCTTTGACTGTGCTTTGCATGACTGGGTGCCTTCTATCAGTTGTGCTACATTTCACTTTGTCCACATGCCGGCTGTGATAGAAAAAAAAAAGGCTTGAAACTGTTAGATGGAGGAGGAAGATAGAAAGGTTATGATTCATATCAGTGAGAGACCGACATCTCAGCCTCTGTCCTCATCCCTCTGGCAGCCACGGGCTAACGCATTAATCCGTCTGCCTGGCGTTTGCCAGGGGGTGGGGGGGACACAATAATCGTTCATCAAGTAGGGCTTGAGGCCCGCGGGTCAACCACGGGGGAGTGAGGGGAGGCTTTCATATTCATCCTGCCTTTACTGTCCCCTTTTACACCACCGACCCAGACAGACAGTTACGGGGGGGAAGGAGCGAGCAGCCAATATAAAACCACTTGTAGACAGAGGGATAAATGTCAGTCAGTGAAAGACCCCTTCACTGTCAGAGGGGCCGCTCACAGAGAGTAAACAAGGTCATGCTTCACCATCTCTTCTGCATGCTTCTGTATCTAAATCACTCCAACTTTTTCTTCTTTCTTTTTTAACGAGATTTTGAATAGATATCTGTATTGAAGGGGGTGAGTCCGCACGTACAGTTTCTCTGGGGTCAAATTTCAAATGATTTATGCGTCACATAAAACTCCAAACGCTGAGATATCAGCTCCGGACACTACAGCACACACACACTTATGTGGGAAAATGTCTTTTTTTTGTTACTCTTAATGAATCATCTCGTACACTTTGTTTTCATAGTACTACTTTATGTCGACAACACTGCGCTTTTAAACAGACCTTGGTTTGTTTGGGTTTTTTAAATGACATTTCTTTTCTGGATGTTTTCCAGATTTTGTTGCTTGGTTATGTGGGCGGCAAGTCTTGCATTGGGATTTATGGTGCCGTTTTTTCCACCACAGACAATGCAAAGTTTTACTCATGGTGGTTTTTTACTTTTTAAGGGCAAAGGTTCGATTTCTTGTTCCGTTTTGAAATTTTATCCGTTGAATGATCGCTATTTCACCTTCAGTTAATAAATGGTAACATGATCTGAATTTGGAGGACAGTCAGAAAACACAAGTAGTTAATGAGATTTGCACTCCTGATCATTTAACCATTCACACCTGGGGTCAATTTACAGTCAATAGTAATTCTATCTGCCAACATGAGCTAGCCTTTAGCCAGTGTGCTAACCACCAAACCACCATGTAAACCACTGGACAGTTGTATTATAAATAATCTTTATACATATAGACTCTAGTGTTTAGTATTATAAATAATGTTTATACATATAGACTCTAGTGTTTAGTTTTTGTAACTTTATGGAGGACGTACCCACCGAAATACTAGCTACGTAGAATATTAGCCACTAATTAGTTACTAATCAAATTTGAATTATTAATTAGAACTGTTTAGAAACAGAAAACATTTAAATTTAAATGCACTTTATAGTCATTGTGATTTCTGAAAATCTTTAAAATATGCTGGTTATGTTAAGTTTTCTTATTTGCAGCAAAACACAACTTTACTCTAGGTTAAAAATGGGAAATTTTAAGAAAAGACAGAGATCACATCCAGACTGGGACAAAGAAAAATACTTTTCTTTTTAAATCACAGCTACTATTGCACTGCTGCTTATTCTCTCTTTCCTCTCAACTTCAACTTTATTTGATGACATGATATTATGAGGTGACTTGCAGTTTGCACTCCCTGCTCTTCCTCCAGATTTGGCCTCTGCAGCCATTAATCAGTGGGTGGTGTACAGATGGCCACGTTCACCTTCCATCACCTGATCTCCAAGGGTTTTTAAACACAGGTGCTTCAAGACCTTGCCTGAAGTTTAGGAAATAGATCAAAACTTTACTTTGTGTCTTGTTAATATTTAGAAGAAAAAACAAACCCTGTCTAGCAGTATTATTATTATTATTATTATGAAATACATCAAGGCAGCCAGTAAAGCGTGTGTGCTGTAGCTGTGAGTGATTTCTCCTTGTGAACGTGTAGAAGTGGTTTACAGTCTATTATTAACTTTTAAAGGTTACATCTACTTCTCTGCACTGACTGCTTGATTAAAAGTCCATGTTCGTTGTTCATGTTATTTTTATATATTGAATGAAATCCAGGCTGGTTTGATGTAATTAACCGACGTCATTTTGTTGCCTCGGGCACTTGTATGTACAGTACATGTTCCAATGGACTTTTCTTTTCTTTTTGTGGACTTCACAGTTAACGTGACAGAGTCAAACGCCTGATGACATGTTTATTTAAGAAAAAAATGATCACATTTTGGAAGCGAGATTTATATCCTAATTATTTTGTGCAAATTAAAACCCAGGTCTGAATTTCTGATTTTATATTATACTGTGCAAAACCCATGTAAAACATGGTGTGAAATTAACATTTATACAGCCTTTGTATGCCTGTATAAATGAAGGGCTGTGAAACACATTACAATGCTGTTTTGTTAATTACATTTTAGTAAAAACCTCACATTTAAAAGGTCTTTTGTTCAGTGCATATCCATTCGCCTATATTGTTGTAAACATTTGGTTTGACATGTGACTCTTCTGTAAAGTCTGACTGACGTTCCTAAAGTATTAGTGTTGACGGCTGTGCATTTGTGATCAACTTGACCTCATAGTTCCCACAATGCTCCAGTGCCCTGAACCTTGGTGGTTCTTAAGGTCATTCAAGAGATTTCCCTGGTTTAAAAAAACAAAAAAACTTCTAGTTCACTGCATCCAGAGTTGTAACTAGTGCATACACAGCAGTGTGCACATATCACATGCTGTCAGTCTTTAATGGTAGCTGTTAAATGTTTCATCATCCAAATAGCAAGATCATTAAAAACTTGCTGTTCTGTGCATTTGTTATTTTCTTTATAAATGTCACGGTTTCTATATTAAGCAAAATACTTCACATTTAGCTTTTGTCAGCAGTTGGTTGCCTTTTTTTTTGTGTCAAAACAGCAGTCAGTCACAGAGTACAATTTGAAACAGACAGTATTTTACACATACAAATGTATTCTGGTTTGAACAGGTCCAGTTAAACACATATTACTACTGCAAATTAAGGGGAACTGTCTTGTTCTTTGCAGAACTTCAAAAATATTTAGGTCACATTGAGGTGACCAATCACATGGGTCAAGGTGTAAAAGTGTGTTTGTGAAGTTTATGTTATTAACATAACGTGCATAGGTTGGTATCACCTGAGAGACACAGGTGGCTGCGGTGCCCCCTAGAGTCTGTCTGTGTTATTTGCTGTGCAGAAGAAGAATCAAAGCACCATCCTCTTGGTTGGAGGCCGACGTCTGTCTACCTACTGAACAACAGAAGTTCAGACCCTCTCCTCATTCACTCATTTTAATTAAAGTCTCTGACTGAACTAAGGAGTTTTTCACTCCCGATAACGGCTACAGAACGTGGAGTAAAGTTCAGTCAGAGAGACACTGACTAAGAACCTAGACTCCCTGGTCCATCTGGGAAAGGCAGCTTGTGGCAGAATATTGTCACTTTTCTCATGTATCTTGTCAGCACCGGTGAAGTTGCGTGCGTGTCCATATGTGTGTGTCCAGAGTGTCTGAATTTTAAATGAAGAGCAGCATGCTGCAGACCATTACTCATACCCCTGCTTGAGTTTCCAGGTGACCGAGCCATATGGATCCCATCCATCCTCGAGCCCATCCGTTCCCGTGATGAAGGGTTTTTGCGACATTTCCTTGGACTTTGACACTTTGATGCAGTCTCACACTTTTAGTCAGGATCTTAATGTGAGCTGGATTTATGATTAAAGGACGGCTGTTAAGGTTTTAAATGTTAAGCATTGCCTTTTAATAATCACAGCAGCATTTTCCTCTTCCTTTTTTATCCTCACTCTTTTATTCACAGAGGCCTTGTTTGGTTATACTGTATCAATGTGATTACGCTCCAAGAGCAAAGTTAACGGGTTTACTGTGTTGTGTTAACATTCACAGATGTGCCGGGTATTAACGTCTGCTTTTACAGCCACTTGTTTCTGCCTTCAAGGTTTTGTGGCAATTGCTTAAAGCTATTTAACACAGCTTTTCAAATTGGTTAAGGGAGTTAGTAGAATTCCCAGAAGCTGCTGGGAGTCCCTGTGTACAACATAGGAAATAGAGTAAATCCCTTTATGCTGAGCACACCTCCCATGCAGGGAAATCTGTTTAAAAGACTGTGTTCTGGGTCACACTGAGACGTCAGAGAAAATTCTCTTTTCCTGCAGTTTTTAGTGTGACATGTTATAATGCCAGCTTCAAACTGTGCGCGCACACAGCGGTGCTTGTTCAACTTGTCAGGTTTTATCAGGATTATTGTGTCACGATGTGGCCCGGACAGTTTTGTCCCTCTCTGCAGGAGACAGTCTGCCAGTGATGAAAGCTTTTTCAAAAGGAGGTTTTGAAGATTTTTGAGGGCCTCAACAAGGACCAGAAACTCAAAATGTGTAACCCAATTATTCAAAAGCATGAAGGAAATGCTCGATCCTGGAACGTTTGGATATATTTTTTATTCCCTGTTCTGGAATACTGTTACCTCCAAAACATGTTCTGATTTTTACAGCATTCTCAGCAAATATGTTTTCATTTAATTTCTTCTACTCTTGAATGAGGATGAATTGAAAAAAAAAATGGAACTCTTGAGGAGTTAGCTCTGGATTTGACCTCACTAGTGCCCCCAGAGGTTTAACCCTGAAAAGACTTTGTTAATAAAAATAGTTTTTTTTTGCACTTCACTCCAACAACCACGGCTAAAATACTTTATAACTACTATGTAAAAAAAATAATACAAGAGGTACATTGCAGTACTTGCATAACATACTGCAAATGGTGCAGAAACAGTTATATAGTCTCCATTAATAAAAGTATGAATTGTCTCCAAATGCATGACATATTTATGTTCTTTCTTTCTTTCTTTCTCTCAGCTCTCAGCCCATGGATATCCACTTTCTCCCTCCCTGGTGTCAGAGACTACTCCCAGCTGACCCTTGACCTGACGAGGAATGAGCTTATTGTGGGTGCGAGGTAAGAAACTGTAAATCCACACAGCTTTTCACATTACTGGGAACGTGATACTCTGTCGGACTCACTCATACATTTTGGATAACGACGCCTCTGAAGTACTCACCGGGGGCTTAATGTGACCAAGTCACGCTTTGGATTTGGAAGGATGGATTTGGGAGACACATACCACGCCACATTACAGCATGCATGTAGGACTTTTTTATTAGACGGCATGAACTAACTTCTTCACCTGGATCACCCTCATAAAAGTGCACACAGACGAACATAAGTACAGGTCACACTGGATGGCAGACTGGAGTCTGAATAGATGTTTTGTTATACTAAATGGAATAAAGTTGTGAAAGTACTCGATAGTTTTCCTCACTCACTCACTCACTCACTCTCTTGTCTGGCTGCATTACAGGAACTACCTGTTCAGACTGGACCTCACCAACATGTCGTTGATACAGGTAGGTTATGAATTCATATTAATATTACTAATTTTTTATCCAGATTTCTCCTGTGTACAGATGTGTTTTATTTACTTTGTATTTGAAGACGTAATGCTGGCGTTTTATACCTCTCCTATAAACTGCTCTTGTTATGACGGCTTTATTCCTCCACCGTGGCGTCACTGCTGTTGTGGAGCTAAAACAGAACCTGTCACACGCAGAAATACTATTGAGATGTTTATTTATTTAAAGACGTGGAAACTTTGTTTAGATACTAAATATTTTTTTCTATCATCAGACTGCTGTCAAGCCTTACACACACATATACTGTATATACACACACACATATATATATATTTAGAACTGACATCTCTACTACAGGCTGCTGCTGTTGTGGCATATGTTTATTTTTGCTTTGACAATAACTGACACAATGGAAAATGTGTTTTTTCACTACACAAATGAGAAAACTTCCACCCAGTTCTTCTGAATATTCTGCAAAAATGTACAAAAAGTTTTGGGAGCTGTGTACATTTACTGTACATTCTCCTCTTAGTACAGTATGTCCAACAAGGTAAACAGCCAGATGGGTGTTTCTCAACAACATATATATTTACTGTATATATTCTTATGTGGTAAACAAGGACCTTTACACTGGTTCAACAGGTTCAGCAACCTGGCGTGTCCCATCCCAAGCCCTGCATGGGCTCACTTTGATCCACAACCCTCATGTTTCCTTATAAAAAAAAAGACTGTCTTTTGAAATGTATTGAGCTTCTTGTTCACTATATTGGCTTTAAGTACTTGACAACAAGGGCGTTACTATAAATAGGTACAGAATGAATGAAAAGAGCCGGCCTAAACTTTGTCACAGTACTGTTGTGTGTTGTTTTCAGATCGATTTCTTGTGGCGATAAACATCTTCTGGCAGGAAATTATTTCTCACAGAAATCAAATAGAACACGATGGAATGGAAAGCGTCCAAAGATGTGAAGACACTGCTGCTTTATAAACTTTATATCTTCAAGTGTTTTCTTTAATTAGGAGTTTCAGCAGCATGAGGGCACCAGTCCATCTGTGTGATTAGTTTTTGGTTAGAATATTTAAAGGTTTGTTCACCCT